TTTTAGTGTGAAGTTTCTTCGAAACTTCACAGTATTGTGATGGTGGGGAAAATTCAAACGAAACAGTCAGTCAGTCAGTCATACAGTAAACTTTCCGGGGGGCGTGTACGATTTATGTTCGTAGTGATTTATTGTGCTTAGTCAGTGCTTTGAAGGTTATTTAGGCAATTTCAGTTAACTTATTTACATATTCTGTTATCCTTTTACCAAGTTCACAAAAATTTCGAGCAATCGCTTTCGTTATTGTAATTCTTTGTAAATTTTAGAACATTCGCTTCTCATGTTGTGTAAAGGATCTTTACCCCGGAACACCCGATTTTTCTTTAGCAGCGCAAATGCGCATGCGCTATCAAGCCGTAGATCACGATGGCGTGACGATATGCTAGGAAGGAGTGACAGTGTTGTTTTCAGATGTATAAACATTTCAGACGTAAATATTGAGCCGAAAATCTTTGAGATTCTAGGCATTCAATTGAGTGCTGATATTATTTTCACGGTATACTCGTTATACAGGGGTACAGTATGTACGAAGAAGCGAGACAGTGTTGTTTTTCAAATATATAAACATTTCAGACATGAATATTGAGAAAATCTTTGAGATTCTACGCAATAATATGATATATAAATTGATGAGTATCAGTTACCGGCGTTCAATTAAGTGCCCATCGATAGACGATATTATTTAGACCGTGTATTCATTATACATTGTTATTTGACTGTATAAGGTGCCGCATCACAGAATAGTACACTCAGTCAAAGAGCGAAAAATTGCATCAGATCAATAAAGCATCAACAACTATTAAACAGAAGCGGGCGTTCATACAGGCGTTTATGAAGAAAATATTGCGAGACGAAGGAAATCAGTTGAGTCAGAGCTCCGTATTTTAATAAGAAAGACGAGGAGATAGCCAATATGTTATCGCCAACGTGTTATCGCCAATCGCTTGGCTCACCAACAAGCTTTATGCAATGGAAGAAAAAAGCAAGGAGGTACATGTAGCCAACGTGTACTGTCGCGGACCTTGTTTACTGTCTAGCACAACGCCGTTGTCAATGGTGCAAATTCGTGTTCAGTGCAACGTTAACTCTACCAGATCTTACGAGAATTAATCTGTAGTATTCTGTACACAGAACTGTATCAAAGCTTGTCAAAACTGCTTTAAACACTGCTATAACTGTGAAACTATTGAAATCTAAAGTGACATTATTCAAAACATGCGAAAAGTTAAAAATAGACACAACGTGACACTGGGAAAAGTCAAAGGTCAATGCGGACTTGTTATTGTACTGACATGTCACAATTAGGTTAAAATGCGGAAGCGGATGGAGCGGACCACAGAACGGAAATGCGAAAAAAATACGGAACGGATGAAGATAAAATGCTTCCTTTCAATGATGTAACGACGTAGTGCTTATTATTTATAACATATCGTATACATCTATTTCAATTATAAGTTTGCAGTAGCCTTGTGTGGATGCTTTTAGCGACAGCTGCAATTGAAATTTCGAATTGTCGCGTGTAGCGGCACAATAAATAGATAAATTGTATCAGTTTCACAAAGCACGTTTATGATGTGTTAGGCTTGTTTCAAACGTCACGCTACTCGTGTGTCGAGCGCATTAAAAGCAATATATAATGAGATGAAATGCCGTTGGTGATTGTTTATTTCGTAGTGTAAGACATCAGCTTTTCTAGGTTGTCAGCGACCCTATATAGTTCTTGCAGAATCGTTTTCAATTTGAAACTTCACTGTCTTGGATCTGATTAACTTACTCGTCCCAGTCCACTCATCAACTTCCAGAATGGCTAATTGTAAAAGCAATAATGCATGAGAAAATTCAATCCACATATACAAAATTCTCACGTTTGCATAGACTTGTTCTTCGACTTTCTCAGTTAAAGCACTTCTTTTAAAGGTTGTTTCCAAAAACACGACTGTTCAAATCTTTGCGTTTCGCAAATATACAGCATTCGCCCTATTGTATAAGATACACAACCTCCGCCTTCGGCAGGCTTGTATATCTTATACAAGACAACCACTCATGTATATATTACCATGAAACTAATTTAGTTTTCTTATTAGTAAGTTTTTTTTATTTATTATTGTATGTCATTTTCTTGGACTATAGACAATCTATAATCAACGTTTGAAGATCCATATTGCGCAAAGTACGAACAAACACGTGATAACTGTCCGAGGCGAGGGAAGCGAACCTAAAGTAGAGTTTACATCATCTGTTCTCGAATTTGGACCAATCCTCCCACATTCGTTTGGAGACGAGAAAGAAGTCACCGTGCAAAATCCTTCGTCGTTTCCAGTTGAGATATATTCATTGGAGTTTGATAAGCAGTATTTAGAAGAAGAGAAGGTGAGTGAACTTTAATTTATCTGTGCCACAAATTCCTAAATACCCCTTTCCTAATTAGCCCACTTTTAAAAGGAAGACGTTTGTTATGCCCTCTCTCTAATGAATCCCCTCATAATTCCCCGTTCTACCCTCTCTAATAGGCCTCCTCTCTAATAAGCACCCTTTTTAATATATGGCCTTCACTAATATATCCTGTTCCAAATAATGTCCCTGTCTGTCCTCGGTAATAGGGCTCCTCTCTAATAAGCTCCCTCTTTAATGGGGTCCTTCACTAAGGAAATGCTGTGCTGAGTGGTTATATTACTACCTTAAAAAATAAGCAGAAACTCGACGTTTCGAGCGAAGGCCCTACGTCAAGAGTTAGGGTACCTTCACTAAGGTACCCTGTTTATAATAATGCCCCCTTTCTGCCCTCTCTAATAGGCTTCCTGTCTAATAAGCCCCCTCTTTGATATGAGGACCTTCACTAATATGTCCTATTTCTAATAATGCCCGACAGAGTTTTAGCGACGGTAAAGTTATTCTCAGTAACCTACTGATATTGTAAACCGACGACAATCAATTTGTTTCTTCTACTATACAAACGGAATACAGAGATCATGAAGTTTACCGTTCCGTTCCCCTGCTGGCAGCTCAGTTGATTAGAGCGCTGCATCGGAATAGCAGTGCCGCAGCAGGTTTGATCCCTGCCAGAGGGCTTATAGTTGCTTTTTCGCAACCGCTCCTGATAGGTCAATAAGGTATATAAATTTGGGTTCGAAATTTCATTTACAAGATACCCAATCTACTAGTAGTGCCTTCGAGCGAGATGTCCAAGGGTTGGAATTTTAAACATTTTTAGTTGCCCAAGTATCTATTAGTGAATAGATCTGGTCGCTAAATTTAGTATCATGTCTCCCTAAATTAATGTGTTATGAAATATTCTCTTTATATAGATAACATAAAAACACAATTGTTTAATTTATTGACAAACTATATGCAAAAGCAGAATGAAATACTTGATCATTGAGATATTTTATAGCTTTTTCTCAGTCGCTACGCAGACTAATGTCTGGTCGCCAGATGAATTGCCGCAATTTGCAACCGCTCACTTCAACCTTTGTCTCCATCGACTATGCCCTAACTATAGCTTTTGTTTACCACTTATAGATCCTGCGAGCAATGAAAGGTTATGATGAATGCAACACAATTCTCCTGCCTCCACGTAAAGCTGGCGATCAACTTCCTGCAGAACTTTCTCAGCATTTTTACGAACAAGAGAAAAGCAAGGAAGAGGATGAGAAGAAAAGAGTTGAAGAGGCTGCTAAATTGTTTGATGATCAGTTGAAGAGTAGTCAGATGGATGTCGGGACGTCGCCTCATTCCGAACTATCACATTCTGGTGTTGATGAAGAAACTGCTGTAGAGGATCCCACCAAAATTCCGCAGGAAACTGCTGACATCACAAAAGGTATTTACCATGCCGTGAAAAAATTTCTATCTGCGATCACTGGGACAGAGCAAAACAATTTCTGCCAGTGCTTAGGCTTGTGACTGAGTTGACATGAACCGAAAGCGAGCATCAATATCGGGTCTGTCACAATAACAAAATTGCCTAATTTATGTACTATATATTGTTTAAGTGGATAAATATATCCTGCTCCCGAGGGAAATAGTTTTGTTTTCCCTAACATTAAGCGCATGTTTTGTTATATAGCGGCGTAAGAAAAATCAACAACATTCATACAACAATTGTGTTTCATGACAAAAAGTCAAAACAAAATCAACGAAATTCATACAACATCTAAACTGGTATAAAATTATTATAATTAAATTTCTCCACCCAAACCCCTGTTGACTTTATGTTGTTTTCACTTTTTTCCACTATAATCCAAAAATATTCGGTTCGTACTGCTGGTTCCCGTCCCCTCAGGGACCAACCAAAATGCCACATTTTGCAGATTGATCAGTGATGGACCGCCTTGCCATTTAATAACTATATGATTGCATGTTATTTGTGTGTGTTGGTGTTATGTACTCAGGTGAATGTGATGTTCGTGATGTTACTCTGAGTTTGCATCCACACCGGGCAAACCTGACCACGGTGGGAAGCGAGCCCGCGACCTTTGCGATTCTAGTTCAATACTCTACCAACTGAGCTACGAGGTGAAGTCGGTTCAGAGCATTGGACTTGTATGAGTTGTATCCCATAGATCGCGGGTTCGATTCCCACAGTGGTCAGGTAAACTTTTCAGCTTGCCCGGTGTGGATGCACACCAAGAGCTACCTCCTCCGCAGGCCTTTCAAAAAAATAAAATTGGTGGGAAACGAACGGACAGGCCTGCGGACTATAAATTTTCCAAAATGGCGGAGTCACAAACCAAATTATATTTAATATATCATTTTACCAGAACAATATTATTATTAAAGTCTTCTGATATAGACCGCTTTTCGTATTCGCAATATACATAAAAAACAGTGAACACTGAACAAATAAGCATATATAATGATTTATAAAGAGAAGCATATAAATATCAGTTTATAATTTGCATATTACAAACACGCAGCGCTTTTATGTTTAAACACGTCGTATATCAGGCATGCGACCGTTTATCCACGAAATTTATTCCATTTATATTTGTCTTTTATACAGTGTAACTATTTAAATGCGTGTGTATATAATCAAAACATCCCATTTGGCCAAATGATAGATTCACAACGTCTATTGTCACTGTCGCTTATGCTTGTAAAACCCTCCATTATTTGAATCTCCTCGTCGCTTTTATCAGCCATAACTGCCAAGATGTATTTAGAAAATACTCGCAAAACGGGATTGCTAAAGATTGGCAGACGATGTGCCATATTTTTGAAGAAATTTGATCCAACCGAGTAATCGACACTATAAGCCAAGTAATCGACATGTTATTCAGCAGGCCTTACAGCTACGCAAGCCTTCGTCTCAAATTTCAAATTTAAACCTGCGAACGGGCATACTCATTACGGGCTGTAGGCCTGCGGAGGAGGTAGCACCAAGAGTAAAGCCCTGTTTAAACGGATCCAACATTGTTGGGCCAACATCATCCAACATTGTTGAAATAATGGCTCAAACGGCTTCTTTTTCAAATATTTTGTTAAGACTAGGTTTAGGGTTTGAGTAAAGCTTATCTAACCAAAAAGATTTGAAAGAGAAGCGGTCATATCTAGTATAGTAACATTGTTGGATGATGTTGGTCCAACAATGTTGGATCCGTTTAAACAGGCCTTAACATCACAAACATGATATGATTGCATGTTATTTGAAAATTTTCGCGAAGTGTGTGTGTGTGTGTGGGGTATTTTGGGGGGTATCCTATAGAATTTTTCCTTTCTACTTTAGCGGAATCTGAGCCAGAGAAAACAGACGTTGGTGAACTAGAGATCACACCTGTGTCAGCAGCTATAGCTAACTATATAGGTATTGATCTATCCCCTGAAGGCCGCGCTGCAAGAAATAGACGTGGGATATCCATTGTTGTACACGGAGCACCGTTATCTGGCAAGACAAACACGGCTATTGAACTGGCGAAGATTTATAATGCTGCTTTATTCAATGTCGATGCTGTTGTTACTGAAGCGATACAACTGGGAACGTCTACCGCAGGTAATTTATAATTTGTGAACAATCAGATGTTTAAAGGCACAGTTCAGCCTGTTGAATGATGGTTTTTAAGGCGCATTCCAGCCGTTTTAATTGAAAAAAACACAACTAACTAGGAAAATCAATTATGCATAATTCAAGATCAGTAAACTCAATGTTTTTAACAATAAAAATGTTTTAAATGTTAAAAACATTAAGTTTGCTGATCTTGAATTACCTTATTATAGGAAATTAACGATGCACTTTATTAACGCGACATAAATTAACGCGACATTAAATTAACGCGGATTGCTTCTAGGTCTTTTAAAACATGATTATATTAACGCGAATCTGATCTCCATGGTTGACAAATTAATTAAATTAACGCGAATCGGAAAATATAGACACAACAACAACAAATGTTTAATGTTAAGAGGAGCACTGATGTTTTTAGTTTACGTTAATATGTTGTATTTTGATATTAAAAGAGTTACGATCTTGGAAAAAATATGTTTTCGAAATATACACCCAAATTTGAAAACATATGATGAAAATGTGAGCATTTTTCAATTAAAGCAACTATTAACCTTAAATTCCCCTCTCCCCACAAACAATGTTGGTTCAGGTAAAGTGGATTTGCAACACATGTCACCTAAATACCAACATTGTATAAGGGGGGAGAGGGACAAAGTTTGAAAATTTAAGAAGTCTACTAATTTTTTTCCAGGATTGTAGTGTTATATAAAACAAATTTAGGTATTTTTAACTAACGATAAATGAAAATTACATACTTAAAATTAACGATCACATAAATTAACATTAATTAAATTAACGCGAATTTTTAAAATCCGCGTTAATAAAGTACATCGTTAATTTCCTATAATAAGGTATGCTTAATTGATTTTCATAGTTAGTTTTTTCAATTAGAAGAGCTGAAATGCGCCTTAAAACCATCACTCAAAAGGCTGAACTGTGCCTTTAAAGGCTTAGTTGTGCTTGTCATCTGCCGGACCTGATGTAAATTATGTAAACTCATTGTTTGTAAACTCACGAGAAAACTCGTATTGCAATGCATTTAGCCAATGAGACAAGCCAAACAATTTTCTCACACTTAAAAAAACCCCGTTTCGTCCAATCAAATGATACAACGATGACGTATGGGCAAATTCACTTACGGCAGGAATTTTCCGCGCTGTGTTTGATTTTATTTATTTCACTTGAAACGGAACGTAAGTAGCATCGCTTTATATCGATTTTTATTCAATGTTTTTTAGTGTGCATATAGTTATAGGGGTTTTTTTTCAATATAAATATTTGGCTGAGAAGACTGAGCGACTTCGAAAAGATTGCTTTACAATAATTTATTCTCATTTAATTTGCACTGCAGTGAAACACTAAAAAATACTGGATACAATAGTCTTGCAAGTAGCTAATCGCCATTGTATGCGTTTATTGAGGACGCTAAAGCTAATACTAAAGTTAGTACCTCATCTTTACCCCAACTCTCGGCTGGATGGGAATGGGAATGTCTTCGAAATAGGAACATCTTACTTTATACAAATGTAACTAACACGGAACGTTTCAAATAAAAAAATTCCGGTTATGACTAAACTAAATAATCAAATTTAGATAGTTCTTAATTGTAAATATAATGTAATTCACCTTTTGGTGTGATTTTGTATATTTTTGTTCAAAAACTCATTAATAATTCATGAGGAAAACACAAAGAGGAATCATAAGCGTGTCGTATCTTTACAGGTGGTAGAGATTTCCCTTGATTTACATAAACTTTAATGATTTGATTTTCTCGACTTGCCCAGCGTATTTTTTGAAAATTACTTCGTCAATGAACATACTAGATCGATCGCAGTGTGTGTATTATCAGACCTAAAGATACTCGGCTTCGCCTCGTATCTTTATATCTGATAAAACACTGCTTCTCTTGTTTTAAAGAGTACATAAAGCCAAATCCAGAACATTGTAGACAATTAAACTCGTGTTTCATATATGGGAATATAATATAATTATAGCGTGTGTTTTCAGGGCTGCTATTTGTTCTTGGTTTCTTACTCCAGGTATTCGTGCACGAGAACTGTGTGCCGCTTCTGCTAAGTCAGTCAAGGAGGCGGAAGAAGGCAAAGAGAACACAGTCACAGGAGCTTTAAGTGTTGAAGCGGTAGCCGCGCATACTGCACAGACCTCGGGTCAAGCTGGATTGCCCGGTACAGCATCGGCTATTGGAGTACAAGGATCTGTCAAGGAATCACGTCGTGCTACAAATTACTTTGGCCCCAAAGGAAGTCAGGTGTCTAAGAATCAACAGCAGGTGCAACCTTCTCCCCCGGCAAGTCCGCAAAGTGCTGAACAACCACCCCGAAGATTGAGCGTGAGCGCCAGTGTAGCCGGGGAGGATGGCATGTATTCTTGTATATTGCCTGAGGATCTACTGGTTGAAATATTGGCTGAACGATTACAGGTATGTTGCTTTAGGACTACAGTAGTACAGGACTTTAGATTTACCTAATTTGGACACACCCTTTATCTACTGGGGGAGGTTGGATTGGGGCAGGGTAATTATTATTATTATTAATCCCAATAGACTGTTTAACATTCCCAGCTGGATACCAAAGTTATCTGATCCCGAAGTTCAATTCAATCTTGACCCCCCGACTTATCAACAAATTACTAATGTGATACGTAAAATAAAATCGTCTGGCTCTCCTTGCCCCCTTGATCAGCTTTCGATAATATGTTTTAAGCGATGTCCTTATCTGAGAACTTACCTCAGTGAACTAATTCATGAAGTTTGGCTGTCTGGAACTGTCCCGAATGAGTGGAAAAAAGCCTGTACTATATTACACCCGTTTTCAAAATTACGCGACCAACGACGAAAATGCTAGAGTTGACATGTCAGTTTTATGTCATTCGATCAC